AGTATTAAAGCTTGAATCTTCCGGGCGAGAAAGAGGGATGGAGCTGTACATCTTTTATAGTTCCATCCCGCCATCTGATCTGGCAGATTTGGAATTAAATAGGGAAGGAGTATTGTTGGCGACGATAGCTACTGGTCGAGTTATAAATGAGAAACTCACCAGTGGACTGCAAAATATAATATAAAAAGAATGCTAACAAAAATGGAATACTAAATAATTAATGTTACAAACGAAATGAGTTTAGTAAGTATTTTGGCTAATATGACGTAAATAAACTGCAGTTTTGGACACTTACGTAACATTATGATAAACAAATAAACAGAACACATTATCAAACATTTTATCCTTATCATGGAGTATGCAAATGAGTTTATGATTCTTCTATAGAACCTTCTTCCTATGATTATTTAGACACCACTGACATACGGTGAAGAGAAACATCGTGAGGAAACCTTGACTTGTAATTACTAATTCTAAGACTGAAATTGCCAATCCTTCCAGAGCAGGCGTGGAGATTAATACTCAAACCTTCTCCGTGTGAGGCCTTTGCTCAGCAGTAGGCACTTATAGGCTGATGATGGGATAGTTTTCACAGCATTGAAGTGGTATATACGTTTGCGAATCGTCTGATGGAAAGTATGTCAACAGACGGTGACAGTCTCCTGCTAGTCTGTGTCTTCTCTAAATGAGATGGTTTACCATAAACTCCAGGTATGCTTACCCGGGTCAGTTTAAGATTGGAAATTACAAGGTTCACAATCATTTGAAAGAGCGCTCTTGCCAGCACGTCGATTCTATAAAATTTGTTTGATTTTGAATCGTGTTCGAGTGCGAAGTGAGCGTCGAAGTGACGGGTAAATAAAATTTTTGAATGCCACTTTTAATGTCATTTCATACTTTATCATTTTTAATGTCATTTCATAATTTAGTTCAACTCGCAAGTGTAGCGCTAGTGTACTACTTACTACTCACGGCGGATTCAGATTCGAAGTTTAGAATGAAGTCTTACAGAATCACACTGCTGGTCTCTATCGAATGTACAGTACGGCCGTCGTATCTTGGCGAGTCTGAAGTTAGCCGTTTGTCTACGCAATGGATCTTTTAGGAACAAAATTGTGTACTGCGCAGCTAATCGGCTAACTTCAGACTCGTCAAGATACGTTGGCGGTATTGTATGTGTAATACTTTTAGTCGGTGTTTACGACACCCGAAAGAAAATGGGGGTATTTTTTATGGGATTGTGCGGTAAGAAAGCGGGCTGATCACTCAATGGTAAGCAATCAGCGTGAACATCGAGAAGGTACAAATGCATTGCATGGATAGTTACTTTTGGGGATTAGGCATCTAAGGATTGAGGAATTTGGCAATAGGGGATGGTGGAAGGATTAGACTGCCTTTAGTAATATTATCCAACGATGAAACACAACGCAAGCATTGTTTCACGTCTTTGAAGCTGTCGTGCCCCTCTGGTAAAGCCAGCTCATTCGTGTCGAGGGAAAGCTTTCCCACGCTTGTGACAAATGTGTTTTACTTCGCCATCACTACGCAGATGTTATGATTATATTAAAACATTTATAGTTATTGTGAATTGAAAACCCGAAGTGGTTTTGTCAAAGGCTTTACTGATGATGAGACAACCAACTTTTCATGGCCTGTCTTAGTGCACATTTTGGCACATTCAACGGCCAATTTGTTCTGGTTTTTCATAGCTTAATGATAAAAAGTATATACTCCAGCTAAAAGAGCCAAGACCAGCAAAACTCATACACCGGATAGAAAAATATCCGGAGAAGTATTTGAAACCAAAATCCAAATATTTCAAGATTGGTGACAACAGAATATAGCACGGTTGATTGTCATCGATTAAGAACGAAAAACCATGTAAACAGCAACTCATGTAGTGTAGATGTCCAGTCAACTGATGGTAGCGATGACTGTCCAGGCGACACACGTACTTAGGTATCGTCATGAGCTAATGTTCACATGTAAACAGCAGCTCATGTGGTGTAGATGTCCAGTCAACTGATGGTAGCGGTGACTGTCCAGGCGACACACGTACTTAGGTATCGTCATGAGCTAATGTTCACATGTAAACAGCAGCTCATGTGGTGTAGATGTCCAGTCAACTGATGGTAGCGGTGACTGTCCAGGCGACACACGTACTTAGGTATCGTCATGAGCTAATGTTTACATGTAAACAGCAGCTCATGTAGTGAAGATGTCCAGTCAACTGATGGTAGCGGTGACTGTCCAGGCGACACACGTACTTAGGTATCGTCATGAGCTAATGTTTACATGTAAACAGCAGCTCATGTAGTGAAGATGTCCAGTCAACTGATGGTAGCGGTGACTGTCCAGGCGACACACGTACTTAGGTATCGTCATGAGCTAATGTTTACATGTAAACAGCAGCTCATGTAGTGAAGATGTCCAGTCAACTGATGGTAGCGGTGACTGTCCAGGCGACACACGTACTTAGGTATCGTCATGAGCTAATGTTCCCATGTAAACAGCAGCTCATGTAGTGTAGATGTCCAGTCAATTGATGGTAGCGGTGACTGTCCAGGCGACACACGTACTTAGGTATCGTCATGAGCTAATGTTCACATGTAAACAGCAGCTCATGTAGTGTAGATGTCTAGTCAACTGATGGTAGCGGTGACTGCCCAGGCGACACACGTACTTAGGTATCGTCATGAGCTAATGTTCACATGTAAACAGCAGCGTATGTAGTGTAAAGATTGTCAAGTTAATTGATGGTAGCAAGATTGACTATCCAACGACGACAGACATATTTAAAAATAAATTAAGAATGTAATTATCAAACATTATGAAACTTGATAAAACAAATTGATTCACAAAAATACCATAAGAATATTTAAAATAAAGTTCAGAAAGTCACGTAAATTGTGTTAAATCGCACTGAACCGGATTTTAAGCCACGACACTTTTACACGATTAATAGTGCGACAAATTAATCGCAAACACGTTTGTCGATCGCGACGCGTCTTACAGCACTGTTTTCTGTGTTATATTTTATAACTCATTACTATATTATCAGTTGAGGCAAAGATTAAGACTAATAGCTTAGTAATGTATTCTGCCTAAATTGTGTTTGCCTCTGTGAGGTTATTAAGAGTTACTAAGTGTTCGTAAACGATGTGACACGACTGTTTATTTGTTTACTCACACACACACACAAGTCTCTAGATATCCAATTTTGATAAATGGATAATTTCGAGATGGTATTAAAAATAAGTACTGTTTCTTAACAAGCATCGAGCATTTAGAGTTGATGTTAATAAATATCAAAATAAATTTAAAACATTTCTAAACAGTACAGTTAGTAACATTTTAGGCAGAATACTAACACAAAAACTGTCCTATCTACATGTCAACATAATCTATGGCCCAGTCACCGCCGATTGGTAGGCTTATATCAACAAATGTCTTCTTCTAGTTAAATATAATAACTTATATCAGTTACGTTGTATTTTCTGTGAAAATATTTAAACAGTACATCATTCATTATAGTTATACCGTAGATGCTATGCTAGGTTAGAAATTATGCTTTGTTTCGAGTTAAGCTTAGGTAGCCTAGGTTGATTTTTGGATGGGTGAATGTTGTTCAGGATTGGATTGTCTCGTTGTTTGGATGGTGCAAATCCTGCTGCCAAGTGAGTCTCATGTTTAAATTGTAGTTCAGTCAAAGTAGTAAGTTGTAGTAAGTTGTGGTTGCCCAAATCTTAAGGCGGCCGCTTCTTTTACTACTCTACTTTCTATGATCATTTAAACACCACTGGCAAACAGTGAAGGAAAACTGAATGACTGAAGTCAGTACTACCACGATTGAGAAGCTGTCTTCTTACAAAGTCAACGTCGTTACAAAATACAAAATGACTTGTGGTAATTAAATTAATCCTGACACTGACAGTTCTGTTTTGTTCTACCGACTACAAGATCAATAACAATATAAATAAGGACATTCTAAGTTCGGGTCTTAAGTAAACTAGCTTAACTTCAGTAACTAATTTAGGACATTTAACACAGACCTAACGTACATGATTCTATACCTACTTGTATACTGTGCACAACCCAAATTCGTTTAAAAAATGCTTCACTGACAGTGTACCCAACCTGTCGATGATCAATTCGATCGATCGATCAATTTTACTAATTAAATATGTATTTCTTTACGGCGCGGACAGGAATCATATAACATACGACTGCACGGTTGGCGCGGTGGCTGGGCAACTGGCTGCCGCGAAACGTGTCGCGGTTTCGATTCCCGCACGGAACAACTCTTTGTGTGATCCACAGATTGTTGTTCCGCCTCTGGGTGTGATGTGTATGTGATATTGTATGTTTGATACAGTATGTTTGATCATTATTATTATATTATATTGATGTCCGTGATGTTTCTCCTCAGGGTTCAGTTGAAAACCAGCGCCAGGCACTAGTTGTCTGGCTTTCATGCTGAACTGGACCCATTTGGCACAACTCTTGTTTGTTTTCTTTCTTTTTTAAGTAGCAACTATTTTTTTATTTTTTTGTTTTGTAATCTTGTTACGCTTAAATACAACCGTTTTGTAACGTGTTTTTTTTTTTTTTTTTTGTTTGTGTTAATTGCTACAATATGTATAGTATGTGTGTGCCAATAAACGTATCTTTCTTTCTTTCTTTCTATACGGTCTATAATACGGTCATAATGTACGTTGGTCTGTATAATTTTAGAGCAAACCAGAAAATGTTATAGGCTCCTCTGGATTTATAGCAGTAGCAATCCCTTCTCCTCCCCCCATCCCTTCCCTATCCTAAAATATCCGAAACCTTTATCCCTAAAAGGCCGGCAACGAATTCGTAACTTCTTTGGTGTTGCGGATGTCCATGGGCAACGTTGATTGCTTACCATCTGCTCGTTTGACGACCTGTACTATAAAAAAGAAGAGGGCGGAATCCCTAGAAACGAATAAAAAGTGTCAAAAAAAAAAGAAACTTACCCATAACTTTTTTCGGCGGTATTTTCCGCTGTTCCTTCTCCTCGCTTTCAGCCCTCCTCATCATCTTCCCCTCGCCCTGCCACTTCCGCTTCCTTCCCTCTCGCTCCTCCAAATACATCCCGAGTTCCTCTTCCCTCCCCACAAGAGCCAACCTCACACTAGACTCCCAAATATAATTTTCTTCTTTCCGGCTATCATGCATAATATAGTCCTTGTCTTCCAAATAAAATTCCATCACAATTTGGCCATGCCAACACAATAGTCACTGAATGATGAATGAAATGAATGAATGAAGGTTTTAGGCAGAAAACTGGCGAACACGTTAAAATAGAACGAAGAATGAGTTGTATAATTTTTTGATACCGGTCGTTTCTCTTTGACGGTGACTCTGTAGTAATTCGTTTTCTATTTTCAATAGCATGTTTGTGTTAGAACGACAATGGTGATACTGCAGACGGGGGAAGTTTCCCGGGAAGGATTTCTTCGTGAAGCGGTTTCCAATCAAATATGTTGGTTGCGCGAGAATGGGCTCCATGTGGCACAAGGGACGTTGGGTGAACCTCTCGATTCGTGGGGTAGCAAGCGGCCTACGGGCGGGGCGTTGTACTACGGCTCCTGCAAAGAGAAATTACATTAACTTTTAAAAACAAATAGAATTAGAGATCATACTGTCTGTCTGAAAGTCTGGGCTACATATGATGGTAATGTTCTTCAGGGCAAACGAGCTGATAAATCCTTTAATTAACGATCCGAATTGCTCATGAACTGGAGACTCATAAGAGGAGATACCGTTTTTTTGCTATTAACATTATTTATCCAGAGATAGAGAAGTATCCGTCTAAAGTGCACGTTTAGCAAATTCCCATTACGTAGGAGATTCAGACATAACATAGGGACTGGTAGAGCCTAATAAGCTAAGCCAAATTCTGTAGAAGTCTAGGACAATTTGCCTCACCGAAGTTAGGCCTCAAAAATACCAGCAGAAATATTATAACCTTTTCCAAAAAAATCCTAACCAATTCAGTTCTTCTCTGTACATTGTGTATATTCTCATTTATCTGCCTATCAGAATAATAAACTTCATTTTAAAATGCTTCAATTTCTTGACATCTCGAGCGCGTCTCATTCGCCATGTTTGTCACGTGGCTTCAATTGCCGAGCAGATAGTGTGCAAATAGTAATTGATGTCCAAGGCCTCAACGTATAAAACTAAGTGAATAATTTAGTGCCAGACTCAAGACCTTTGGGTAGGTACTTGGTGCAAGGGATAGGGGGCCAGAAGATAATGGTTAGGTGTGCGCCAATTTAACGAGGATCTTTCGAAACGTACGTTTTGGAAGGGTCTAAATGAAGTAACCACGGCGTTGCGTTTCGCCGTGTGAGTGAGGTTACCGGAGGCCCAATCCTTCCCCTCCCCCAATCCCTCCTTAATCCCTAAATCTCCAAATCCCTAATCCCTAAAAGGTCGGCAACGCACTCGTAACTTCTCCGTTGCGGGTGTCCATGGGCGGCGTTGATTGCTTACCATCAGGTAATCCGTCTTCTCGTTTGCCGACCTTTCCCATAAAATAAAAAAAGGACATTTTGAGGAATTGTCGAGTGCTTGAAAGTGCGACCCAAGGTCCCGAGAAAATAGCTGTACTGTCTCTTACAGTACAGAAGATTTTATACGCACTGGTGCAATTCTGATACTAAATTTCTCGGCAGGTTAATGAATGTATGGATACATATGTATATCAATCTTCCTCTTCAATCACTCTATCTATAAAAAAAACTGCATCAAATTCGTTGCGAAGTTTTAAAGATTTAAACATTTACGGGATATAGGGGCAGAAAAAGCGAGTTTGTTTTAGACTATGTAGTGATGGTATCTACTAACTACCCAACTGTGCAATAACGATCCATTTTTCCCAAATTACATGGTAAAAAAATGACGCATAGTCCAACAGTCTTTACTGTTGGAGCCCGAGGCCTGACAATGAACGGAAACCAGCTGGTGGATGATTCATGAAAACGATCAAGTAATTGCTAACTTCTGTCTGATACCAAAGACAAGACACTCAAAATAAATGGAAAGTTTCCATGCAAGTCAAAGTCAAAATAATTAATTTCAATTAGACCCTTACAGGCACTTTTGAACGTCAACTCTCTGTCTGTCTGTCGGTCAGTACTCTTAGTGAAGCTATTTGCTCGTTCCAAAGTGTAGATTCCGATAGAGATGCACGAGCGACAAAATCCATGGTTACTCTTTTTAAACCCGTTTCACCTATAGATTCTTTGATACATTATTTACAAGGTTTTACTCCTTTGGTGTACCGGTAGTCTATTGGCGGCACTGATAGCTTACCATCACATAACTGCTGCCGATTTCCAGAAAAAAAGTTCTAAAAAAATTGGTAAAATCGGGTTCGAACCTGAGCGTTCAAACCACTGATCTCCTCTCATCTGGTTGAAGTAATATTTAGCTTTCTCTGGACACTTGTGTACACATAAACATTGGATTTGCGTCATAAAACCGCAAATAATATTTTATAACAATGCCCATTAGATACGGTTAATTAAGATAAAATACACATTTTTTTAGTTATTACAATTATATTCGGTTTAATTAAATATTTTTGGATCCTATATTATCAAGGATGTTTTTTAAGTACATTATTACTCATCACAAAATAGTAAGTTAAGATTAAAGCAAATTAATAAGATTTTTGGTCATGACTGATTTATTTCGTTGTGGAAATCCAAGACAGTTGTTCATTTACCCTGGGACTCGCCGACTTTAATGTGATACTAGTTTCACGCCTTTTTTAATGTCATCGGTGGGCAAAGGATCAGACGGATTACCTGATGGTAAGTAATCGGCACCGGCCACTGACACCCGTAAGACCAGAGGAGTAACGTGTCCGTTGCCGGCCTTTTGGGATTTAGATTCTGGAGATTTAGGAATTAGGGCAGGATCTTCCCCCCTGGAAGGGAAGGATTGGGCATCTGGTAACCTCACATGGCGAAACACGAGACGAAAGGGGCTAGAGGGAGTGTCAGATTCTTACTGACTAAAAATGAGCCCATTCCTTCTTCCGTTCCAGGCCAGAACAGCGGTACACTATCGCGTTTACTTCTACAACCCCATCTATAATGTGGTTTTTCCCTAATCGGCTTTTACAAAACACTCGAGAAATGTATTAGCCGGAGATATAAAAACATAGCTTTAAAATCAACTGTAAGTCAGTCAACAATCAGACCAAAATCGTCATGGAAATTCCCCATAAAATGATCTTAATTCATTAATTGAGTGAACGCTCTGTCATTGTTTTCCAGGAAACGTTTCATGGCTGTATTATTTGTTAAGACTTGCGAAAGTCAGATTTCGGAATGGGAGATTTTCCTCCAAACACTTCCAATTGTATAAAACCATAGGCAAAATTTTCAATTCTACTGGAAATTTTGCCTTTTCGAAAACGCCATTTTGAAAGGACTTTTCCAGTTCTAAAATAGAAAGCCACGTTGTGACGTGGTTGCCTGTTTGATTCTACTAATAAACGCGAAAGTTTTTAAGTATAGATGGTACGTAATTAAAAACAACTAAATGGACTTTAATGAAAATTGGCACTGATGTAGTTTATAGTCGACATCAGTGACTATAGTCTGGAATAACATATACACTACTTTCATAAATAAGCTAGTAAGGTTATATGAGGACTAGCTGAATATTTATTTTAAAGTAGTTTAAAAAGTCGTCGTATGCGCAGCAGTAGTTTAGCTATGAAAATATTTCAGTCTGATTTAGAGTTAGTTAAGTAAAAGGTATAGAAACGGCAGGGGATGGTAAGGGTAATTCGCTAAAAACAACTAAATCTAGAATTAGTATAAAAAAATCAGGATAAAAACAACCTGTATCGGACGAAATAAACCAGAAACCACAGACAACCCACGTATCCTCACCTTATAAAGAGTCCTTCAAATCACAGTAAAACAATAACATTCAAAGAGGTCCGAATGATTCATCACAATTTCTTTTACAAAGCCATATTGGCGAAACACATAAAAAACTTAACACCTCCGTCCCCGTCCTTCAAAAATATCATTTCAGTCCACCATTTTGATTTAAAAAAACCACAACACCAAACAAAACGAAACGGTTAATTCAAATTAAGGAAAAACAGGAAATCCGTTTATTGAATTTTCGAAATTCAAATCAAATTAGCGCGGGCTGCCGATGCGCGCAGACGTGAAGACTGTGAGCGTCTATTGCTAAATTGATGGTACGTATGTAGACGGTCAAACGAATAAGAACGCAATATTGTCATTAATTCCCTGGCCAATCGGGGACTTGAGCGAGTAGTGTGGATGTCGAGAATTGGGTCCATTTGCCTGGCGCAGGGTCAGACAATCGTCGGGTCAAGATGATACTGGGTTCTGTATCAAGTTGAAAAGGTTCTGCCGTTTGTCAAGCAGTTTTCAATAAAGATGATTAATATAATAAAGAGACAAAATCTTCTGTTTTAATATTAAACGCCATTTAATGATTTTTTGTGTCATAACAGAAGTATATGACGATTCAATGGTACGAAACATCCAATGACGTTCTTGTGTACGTTATACAAAACTATGACATCTCAACCGACAAATCTTATCTCTAACATAGTCTATCTTAGAAATAAATTACAATCCAAACTGATATTATAAATGCGCAAGTAACTCTGTCTGTGTCTTGTCTTCACGCCTAAACTACTGAACCGATTTCTGTGATATTTGATACAGACAAAAATTTGCAGTCCAGAAAGGATTTAGGATAGTTTTTGTACTAAAAATCTGCAGGAAGTCCCTATTCGTCGCGGGCAAATCTAGTTATCTAGTAATTTATTTAAATAATGAGTGACAAAGTTTTTTTCAGTGCTATACGTCGTCATTATTTCAATAGCTTTCTGATTGTCGTAAACAGTTAGTGTCGACATGAATTGGGCAGTTTATGTGACCCCTGTTGAACTTTGGACCCAGCTATGCCCAACTAGTTAGAGGGAGGTACACTTCAAAACAATCGCGAGTACGCTTGTCAATAAGAGTGAAACATTTCCATATAAAGATGAAAATGGAGTCGGTTAAAAAAAGAATTAGGAAAGAAGAAAGACATGGGAAAGGGAGCATTATAATTAAGAAGGGGATGTAGATGTGTTTGGTATTTTTTAAAAAGGATATGCAAACAAGCCGTTTGATCACTCGTTTTAACCTGTCTGACTACAGGCTGAAGTTTTTACTAATATCTTACTTAAAACAGATGACTGATGTCTAACCAGATTCAGCGGAAAACATAGTAACGTGAAAATACAATTTTCTATAAATGTAACTAAATAAACAAACATAAAACAATTGCTAAGCGCAAAACCTACAAGTCCGGAAGCTTTTTCTGTCAGAAAAAGATCTTATGAATAAAAATCGGTAAAAAAAGTTAAATGGAACAACAGAAATTATATCCAAATTTCAAATATCTAGATTATCAATCACGATTCATGTGATACGGGCTAGTGACCAAAAGGTGATTTTTTAGCAGGAGAATCCTTGCGAACGCGAGCAGATTGCAAGTACACAATAAAAAAAATGTCATTTCAAATGAAAACAAATGAAGATGAAGACCATTATAAGATGTCTACTATTTTATGAAAGCAATAAAGTAATCAATTGTTGCTATCAATTGCTTTTATAAATAGCATATAATATGTATATGTGCTTTTGTCTCTTTGCTAAGTGCTTTAAGTACAACTCCACCGCCACGTGTTATCTTTATTCGGTCTTTCTCTGCAGTCTTTCCGTCCGAATATAATTTAGGTGTCTTCAAGGCTAGAGTGAATAGGCTCTTAATAAACTAGTGCGCCTTACCATCAACGATTGCAACACTGCTTACCATCAGGTGGGATCGCAGTCAAGCACTAGTTTATTGCAAGTAAAAAAAAAGGATCTTAAAACCAACTAAGAGGTAGTGTCTCTTAGTTGGTTTTTGTATTTAGGTATTTCAGAGATCGGGGAGAACGTCTCTGGCACACCTTTTTGTGGGTAAAACATCATCAAATGACTTCTGTATCCCAGTGTAAGGCGAGCGGGAGTGTTAGACTCTTACTGACTAAAATCCCCCTGTTCCTTCTCCGAAAAACCCGAGGCCGCGGTATCTTTTTGCGCTTGCCTTGCAACCCAGCTCTTTTCAGGTAATTACGCCTGAACTCTTTAAAGAGTGTGCCCAGCGTGGAAATTATAGTAAACTCTATTGTTTAGATGAGGTCCACAGTCAAAGTGGACTATGGCATGCTGTTAATTCTGAAGTATAACTGGCGGCTGGTGGCTTCCAGACGGTCGATCTTACTGACTTGCTTAGCAGTGGACATTTTGTGTTCTTTTAAGGGGAAATTTACCATATGACATCCTGAGATCTTCTGCCCTGTGTGGGGTGGTGTATATAAAAAAACGGCAATGACCCAATTCAACTTTTGTTCGGAAAATCAAAACTAGCGGTGCTATACATTTTTGGTGGCAATTGGTCAGATCTCCTTTTCAATTATCGACCAAATTTTTAAAACACTGCTGAATTAAAGCAGTATTTTTTTTGCTAATCCAAAATTTCCAAGAGTCGTACCGAAGGAGGATTGGACAATTAAATTCAATCAGGCACAATAAAGAAGTGGGTACACTTTACAGTACAAGCAATCATTTTAATTGTCGCTTATTGGACACAATTAAATACAAGTAGCATTGAGTCTCGCGAAATTACAGCCTGAGAATGTTTGAAGGGATTTTCGCAAATTTTTATCCCAACTAATATTATAAAGAGGATTTTATGTGTTAAGGGCTAAGCTTCAGCACGAATGGGTCAGCTTGACCGAAGTGAAACAACGGCCTCGGCGAAAAGCAACGTGAAACGACCACAGCGGTGTATTTCACTTTAAGTGTGGGAGAGCCATGCTTCGGCACGAATGGGTCGGCTCGACCGGAGTGATACCACGGCCTAACAGAAAACCGGCGTGAAACAACCATAGTGTTGTGTTTCGCCGTGTGAGTGAGGTTACCGGAGGCCCAATCCTTCCCTTTCCCAATCCCTCCCCAGTTCCTAAATCTCCAAATCCCTAATCCTTAAAAGGTCGGCAACGCACTTGTTACTCCTCCGTTACGGGTGTCCATGGGCGGCGCTGATTGCTTACCATCAGGTTATCCGTATGCTCGTTTGCCGACCTATTACATAAAAAAAAAGAGTGAGGTTACCGAAGTCCCAATTCTAAAACCTCGAAACCCTAATCCTCAAATGGCCGGTGATGCACTCGTAACTTTTCTGGTCTTGCTATGGAGAGCGCCGGTTGCTTAGCATTAGGTAATCCTTCGGATAGTTTGACGTCCTATCACTTAAAAAAATTATATCCTAGCTGTTTATTTCTTCCACTGAGATTAGTCTTAATTACGACATCCACACACACGGCAAAAATTTCATTATTTCAATCAATTGTTCCGCAGGAAAGTTTGAGGTCGCTCTCCTCAGACCGGGTACTTATTAAAAGAACCTACGAGTACTCGAATAATAGACGAAAATTGTGTACACTGATGAGGAAGACGCTTAATCGGAACACTAAAAGTTCATAAATACTTATGCTTTTTACCCACCCAAGACAGTGGCTTAATAAGCTCTCGATATTATAGACAATAAACGACTCCAGACTTCAGTTCAGACTTTCAGAGCCACAGGAATCTTTCACGACTAACCAACTGCCTTTTTCTGATACTTTTAGAAAAAAAATCCACAAAACCCAAGCGTACATCCAACATATAAACACGGAGAGTCATTTCAATACATCTCAATCAAGTCACACACACATAAACGACACTCAATCAATGGACACACATATATGTGATATTGACACGTGTTTTGTCATCTGTGGTGATATCATGGCAAGGGCATGGTGGTATAATGGCCAAAGGTGGACAATGATGGGATTGCCATCGCTGATGGTGATCTGAAAGGTGGGTGGTAACATTTGTTGATTGTGTGAACTCTGATCTAAGGGTCAAGGTCATGGGATGGATGTGGTCTGTTTGAAATACATAGAGTAGCATACTTAACGTGGTTTCTGTGATAAAAAAAGGTGTAGCCTGAAGTTAAGTAAAGGTCATTAACTATAGGGCTAGTAACCAGACAACTAGATACTGCACAAGTGTCAATTTCAATAGTTTAGTAGAAAAATCTTTGTGTGATCACAAAAATCGTTGCAATTTCTGCGTTGATTAGATGGCGCTAGTGCTGTTTTAAGTCTCATTCTGTTCAAAATGTACTGTCCTATCAGCACCAGCAGCCTGATTTCGTCCACTGCTGGAAATAGACCTCCTCAATTACACGCCAATGAGCTCGATGTTCAGCTCTTCTCATTCAACCACTGTCAGCCACCCTAGGGATATAGTTAGTCCACCTAGCTGGTGGACGCCCTACACTACGTTTGGCTAGACGTAGTCTCCGCCACTGTGCTATAGCTTTACATAATCAAAGAGTTTCTTAACCATTTTCCATTACCTAATAGTATCACGGTTTGATGGGTATAATTAAATGGTATCACTAAATGTTAAGCAACAAAAAGACAAGATGCATAAAAAACTATCACTTAAAGTATCAGGTGTAGGAGAGCTATGCTTCAGCAAGAACGGGTTGGCTCGACCGGAGTGATCCCACGACCTCACAAAAAACCAGCGTGCAACAACCACAGCGTTGTTTCGCCTTGTGTGTGAGGTAACCGGAGGCCCAACTTTTCCCCTCCCCCAATCCCTAATCCCCAAAAGGTCGGCTACGCATTCGTAACTCCTCTGTTGTTGCGGGTGTCCATGGGCGGCGTTGATTTCTCACCATCAGGAAATCGGTCTGCTCGTTTGCTCACCTTACACATAAAAAAAAAATAGATCTTAACTTACCATTAACGACGTAAAGTCGTTTATCAAATATATCTCCAATGGTCAGTATAATGCCTTAATAGCAGCCAAAATAGTCTTCATTCCAGATTCAAGGAAGCAAACACCAATAATTTCCATTAATTGCTATTCTATGAAGCTGAGCAAAGTGATATCGTGCTATCTCTTTCTAACTTGTGAGTTTTACTGTATGTTGTCTCCCTTTGGCGATGTTGTTGTGGACCCGTTGGTATCTGAAATAGAAGAAAAATATTTTTTAGTTTTGGCAGACTTTTCCAAACTGCATACTTTTAGAAAACGCGTTCGTGAAATTAAACCAAAAAACCCTGATAAATATGTACTGGATTGCGGTGAGTAACTCTGTAATAGATATTATATTTCCTACACGCTTTTTTATCAAGTGACTTGATTGTTTTTTCTTTCAGATCATGTTTCTATCCAGGAGAGCTTTGTTGGAAGAAGTAAATGTAGGCCTTTTAAAGCATTAAATGAGAGTTTTTAAAGCGTGAAAATTAGACTTGAATTTTCCAAAAGGTTTTACCTCCAACACAGTTTCCACCGGCAATCTCAGTCTCATTTTTATTGACATGATATTAACCTTTCAATAGTGGTAATTCAAGAATAGAAAACGAGTAGACCTATTTCTCTCCTTTTAGGTCCCTTGATGTGACAACACCAACCACCTTCTTACAAACAGTTATAAAGACCATATTTCCCAGCACAACGGTCATTCCTGGACTCTTGACAAGCGTTTGACCGCAATAGGACTAGGTTGGAACCAGATTGTACTAGTTAAGGTAGACGTCACATCTCTTGAGTTCAATGGTAATAAGGGGATCCTGTTGTCCAACATCACGAGTGTGAACGTAAGAATTAGTCCAAAGTACTGCTCAGGAGTAATAAGCTGATTTTGGCAGGTGTGTTTAGAGGTAAAGCAAAAACTACAGGATTTTGATAATTTATCATAACGAGAAAGTTCGATTTAACGTTATTGAAGTAACTATATAATAAATAGCTTCCAGTCCAAAGTTATGAATGCTCCCGGTTCGGTTAATGTAAAAAAAAAATTGTTAAGGATGAATCATAGCATAACAGTAACTGAAAGTGACCGTAACGCCTGTGGTACAGATTCAATTCTATACAGGCACCGTAATGTACCTAGATTAATTAAAATGTAAGACCTAATGTAAGATATTTATGTACAAACGTAAATAAATAAAATTTGATTGATTGAATGTAATAAACCTAACCTACTCCATCCACGAAAGGTACGGTGGTACGTACCGCCGGGGTTGCGAGTTCAAGTGCTGGGTTAGGAACTAGGTTGTTAGCAATTAAGGATCTGGCGCTCCCTTTACCGCGCCCAGGGCGGGAGAAGCCATTCGACGATGAATCCACAAAAAACAACTAGACTACAAAACTTACGTGAAAAACTAATGACGATTCTAAATTTGAAAAAAGAATGACTACGAAAAAAAAAATATATAAAATAATAATTACAAAATGCTACTCTCATTTCATTTTGGACCTTGAAGCATAGACACATGCCCAGCATAACACGATTAATCTAGTTAAGTAAGTAGGACTAGAAAACAAAGTAGTCTGTAATTTGATAGCACAACGTATTTAGTCATGTGATCGATCATTGTAATTATGAGCTAAAATCGCTTGTAAGATATGTAAACATAAAAACAATACATCTACTCCAGAAGTACCTTACAGAAGCAGAAAAAAATCTGCTCTTCATTTCTTTTTTCTTTTTTTATAAAAAACGTTGCCTTACACTAGGATTTTCTCCTGTGTCGTGGGTGCGTTTACAAACATACAATTTCACATGCACATCACACCCAGACCCGGAACAACAATCTGTGGAACACACAAAGAGTTGTTCCGTGCGGGAATCGAACCCGCGACACGTTGCGCGGTAGCCAATTGCCCAGCCACCGCGCCAACCGTGCAGTCGCTCTGCAAGAGTTCAATTGACAAGAAAGTTATTGAGAATAAATACTAGACCTATAGAACTAAAAAAAAATGTTTTATTAGTTTATTTATCACGAAAAAATAAAAAGGATAACATTATAAATTACTGCCGTTTTCTACATTGCAAAATAGACACAAATAACTTGTCTAAATCAAAAGTGGCATAAACTAGGCGCCATTTTTTTTTCGATCTGACAAAGCATTCAGCCTAAATTGTCACATTATTTATTATCTATATTAAATTGCACGCGCCGAAGACCTAATATTACACTTTCATATATTGTCCACGTGAAGGAAGAAGGCATTTATAAATTAACCAATGGCAATCTAAAATGTACCTTATTCACAGGGTAACAAGATCCACGGATGTCTGGATGCGCGGAAGCAAGCAACTACGACGCGTTTAAAGTAATTTAATGGCAAGATTTATTGTAATAGAATTCAGTATGAACCAGTTACCGCCAATTGGATGCGGTTGTTTTAAAAAAAAATCTAGCTATTTTTTCCCGACAGCATTTAACAGTTTGACAGATGACATTAAAAAAACTGTCAAATCACTATTTACTTAAAACGAGACAACAGACTAAAAATAATATTAGTACAAAAACTATTAATTTTAATGGATATTATATTTAAAATACAATAAAAATAATTCACAGCTGTGAAAATAGTGAACCGAAAAATTTTCGTATAAAGAATTTGCTATGAAAACTTTGAATTTCATTCATTTAAAAACAAAAAACTTACCAATACGCGTCACCGGCTCGAAGAGCGCAGTGAAAAACTGCCATTTTTAACCCTAAACTGCCAAAAAGGTTTGGAAACTTTTTTTGTAAAACTGTTTTTCTAATGCATGCGTGCGTGTGCTCTGTACAAAAATCCGGCAACTGTCTGGATTGCAGCGAACGAGTATTGTGAGGGGGGATCACAATTGGGAACATATTGAATGAACCTACGTATGCAGAGGCCATGTTATTTCGTAGCCTAAATTGCCTTTTTAAACTTGTCAATGGTGATTTGTTAAATCAGTATTACAAAGATTAACAAAATATAATATAACACGTTGAGTACTATACTAAAAACGGACAAATCTTAATAAACTTATCAAGGAAGATGAACATAAGTTTTACAACAATTACTTAATCTTATGGACGTTGTGGATCCATTGAAAGCTTCAGCTAAAACCAAGAAAGCAATGGAATTGTAACACCTCGATTTACGCATTTAAAACTTATAATCCAAACTAATATTATAAATGCGAAAGTAACTCTGTCTGTCTGTATGTATTTTCTTCACGACTAAACTACTGAACCGATTTCTGTGAAATTTGGTACAGACATAATTTGGAACTCGAGAAAGGACATAGGATAGTTTTTATAGCGAAAATCTGCAGGAAGTCAATATTCCACGCGAACGGAGTTCTGGGCAAAAGCTAGTAACTCGAAAAAGTCACAAAGGTCCTTGCCAGGGTTGACCTACTGACTATTACCGATTGTCCAACCCTTGCTTGAGATAACTTCAGATCAACGCAACTGATCCTCTTCATCTATTCTCTTCTTTCTTACGTCATCATAATCATTAACGTCATTCCTTTCAATCGTCAGATCAGATCTCATAATCTAACTATTATCTCACCCTCTTATTCGCCATTAAAGATAACGAAAAGAATAACCTTGTCTAAAATATCACGATCAACGAAAAAAAACCTGCCAAAAACTTAGCAGCTTCAAACGTGTAAAAAATCGTCAAGTTTATCACTGTACGCATCGAATTCTTTTCCTTGCGTCACAGTGACTTTTAAAATCACCCTTATCAGTGATTGTTTTGACACACCTTTCTTATATTATATCCGATTGGTGGAAATTTTAGAAAATGTATCATCATTGACGTAGCTATATTCTCTATCTTTACGATTGTACACAGACTTACATGACAGTTTTTTGGTTTAAGGTGTACTGTGGTAAACCAACAGATGGGTCACCTAATGACAAATGTAACCTCGAGAAATAATAGGTACGGTGCCAGTTACCAGTTTCCTGGGGCCTGGAGTTTTTTCTTTTCTTTATCTTTATGTAATAGGTCGGCAAACGAGCAGACGGATTACCTGATGGTAAGCAATCAGCGCCGCCCATGGACACTCGCAACGGAGGAGTTACGAGTGCGTTGCCGACATTTTAGGGATTAGGGATTTGGAGATTTAGGGATTGAGGAGGGATTGGGGGAGGGGAAGGATTGGGCCTCCGGTAACCTCACTCACACGGCGAAACAACGCTGTGGTTATTTCACGCCGGTATCACTCCGGTCGAGCCGACCCATTCGTGCCGAAGCATGGCTCTCCCACACTTCGAAGCATGGCTCTCCCACACTTGGAGTAGGAGAAACTGGGGAACGAATGGGTAGTTTTTTTATGAGAAGGAATTTGATTTTACTTAAAGGGGTTTCTCAATATCTATGTGAGGATCGGATATCGAAAAAGATACTTTCATTGTACACGTGGACTTTTTTGTAATGGAGTATTAGGTCCCACAGTGGACTATCAAAGGCTGATTGATGTTGATTTTAAAACCTTGTGTAAGTTTCATTAAATACTTGCTCATCAAGACCATTTTCGAGACAATTCCTAATACATACATAACTATGTATTTGTAAGTAACATAACACTTGGCACTGTTATAGATCTGCTGACATAATCTGAATTCTTAGGCGTTACTCATTCATGTAACCCTAAACCTTTATTGTGATACCAGATTCTCTTGAACGGTTCACTTGCTGCTCAGCTCCTGCAGATTGTAGCGATATGTTTTGTACCCTTCCTGAATAAATGGACTTACTAACACAAAAAGATTTGTTCAATTCGAACCACTAGAACCTACCGGTGATTAGCGCCTTCAAACGAAGAAACAAATAAACTCTAATAATCTAAATATAGTATAGTATTCAAATAAAATTAAACTTTAAAGACCTATTATACTATTACTAAGGTAACTACTAAAACTTTAGGTTTTCTTTTTGAGGAGTGGAAATCATCAGCTGTTTTCTACCGCCCCGTGTTGGGCTAGAGAGAGTACCAAACTTACTGGCTAAAAACCACTTCGTTACTTCTCCTGCTCTAAGGCGTAGAGCAATAATTTATTACGCTTGATCCACAACCTGGCTGGGAAACTTTAATAAAATGACACCCCATTACTGGGGATTCATAACACACTCAATGAAAACACAAAATGTTAAAAAGACGGCCTCACAGAAGACCGGCGTGAAACAATCACAGCCCAATCCTTTCCCGCCC